CATTAGCGGCAGCACCCTCCGGCTGTGGAAGGCGGCCACGACCACAGCCGTAGTAAGATGGTGGTCCTGCAGCCTCTACAGCCCCTCTAGGAGCGGCTGTAGCTTGGGTTGATCCTCCCTCAGGATGCCATACTTCCACTGCTCCGGGCTGCTCCCCACAATCCGCCCAGTGTAGAGGGGAAGTCCGCCATCGTCATTGCAAAGGTAGAACCAGCTCGTGTACCATCGATGGTTGGATGACGCGAGCTGGGCCGAGATGTAGAGGTGCTGACGATCCTGGCGCACTTGGAGAGTGCAGCCGCCGGCCCTCACCGCCTTCCTCGTGCCCGATGTGCCCGCCGGCTTGGTGGTATGTCCCACCCGGAAGAGATGGAGCCACAACTCCCAGTGGGGAGCAATCCCCAGATACCCCTCGCAGACAGCGACGAAGATAGCCGCCTACGCGATAGAATTGGGGTTGAAGTTGTGAAGCTCCACGCCATAGTAGTGCGGGAGCAATCCCCAGATACCCCTCACCGAGGCCGCGCTCGTGAAAGGACACGAAGCTCACGACGTAACAGTCGCGAGGCCTCTGCTCCGGCTCGCCCAACGGAGCAATCCACTCCGGCCTGTTGGGGTCGGTCACCGGCGAAGGATCCCACCGTCGACGAGCGACTGAATCATCTCCACGGTGATGTCGGATGGATCCCAAGGGTCCGCCTCGATGACAACAATGTCACCGGCCATGAGTGCGGTGGAGGGCTCGATTATGACGGTGAGTCTCTCTCTCTCTCTTCTCTCTCTCTCTCTACCTCGCCTCTTTCCTTTCTTCCTCCTTGGGCTCTCTGCTCCGGCGATGGCTCAAAGACGGCCAAGCTAATGCAGGCAAGGTAAGGAGGGGAGGAGCGAGGCTCGTTGCGTATTTATGCAGGGTAAAGATGAAACGGACGGGCGACGAAATCGGGGAAGTTTCCCTCAGATCCGTCGCGGTTAATCCTGATCTGATTTTACCGCCCGTATGTCCACCTTTTCCTCATTAATCGCGGGAACAGTTATGTCCCGTCCGCTGACGCCACGTCGCATCCGACCGCTGCAGTAGCACGCGTCGTTCCGCCTCCCCTAGGAAATCACCTGAAAAGGCGCGCCGGCCATTGTCGAACCGATGGGGGAAATATCCCCCCACCCTATTCCTTTTAGGTGAAGGAACCAGGTGCCGAGCCCATTACGGTCCAGGGGTTCGAAGGCTGGGCCCCTAAGGGTTTCGACAGTCGCCCTAGGGCAACAGAGTCAGGGGCAACCGTGGGCGAGCCCGTACATGGCCGAGACCCAAGCAAGCGAAACGCTTGGGACGCCCAAAGTCGCGTCCGAGACAAGCAGGGAGTTCTCCAAAAGGGATCCCACCGTAGGGAGGCGCCCAGCCCCCGGGGCCAATCGAACGGCCCTGGGACCCAATAGAGAAGCCCTCTAGTACTTTTAGAGTGCATCTCCAGACCGCTAGCCAACCCTTATCGAATGGGGCATGGGCCTCCACTCGGACTTACCCAATAGCAGCTCCCCAGAAGTGTCACCGCTCGCACCCACCAAGGGTAGCCTGGCATATTCCACCTCTCCTTCCGAACGAAAAAAAGCGCGAGGGTCGTATAAAAAAGCTAGGGGGAACCCCTGATGGACCTCCCCGTAGAGGCTAAGGGGCCCTCCCTACAACTTTGCTGAGACCCAGCGACCCAGGTTCGCACTCGAGGGGGCCCGACAAACAAACCCCTCCTTCCGAACGAAAAAGAAGCGCGAGGGTCGTGCAAAAAGCCGGGGGAACTCCTGACGGCCCTCTTGCTCTAGGCAGTGGCTAGGGAGCCCTTCCTGTGGATATGCTGAGGCCCCACGACCTAGGCTCGCACCCGAGGGGGTCTCAGCCAACAAACCCTCACGCGTGAGAGGCGTATAAAAAGCCAGGAGAGCACCTGACGGCCCTTTCACTCTGTGTAGAGGACAGGAGGCTCTTCCTGCAGATTTGCCGAAACCTAGTGACCCGGGTTCGCATACGAGTGGGCTCGGCAAACAACCCCCGTCCGAACGAAAAGGATGCACGAGGGCCGAACAAAAAAGTCAGGGGGACCCCTGACCGCCCTCTCGCTTCGTGCGGAGGCTCGGGGGCTCCTTCTGCACCCAAGACAAGGATAAGCGACCCAAGCCCGCACTCATACATTCGGAAAAAAGCAACAAAAAGGGCGCTGAGCCCGTTACAGTCCAAGGGTTCGAAGGCTGGACCACCGAGGGTTTCGACAGCCACCCCAGGACAATAGAGTCAGGGACAACTATGGGCGAGCCCGTACATGGCCATGGCCCGAGCAAGCGATCGCTCAGGATGCCCTAAGTCGTGTCCGAGACCTAGCAGGGAGTTCTTGGAATGGGATCCCACCGTAGGGAGGCGCCGAGCCCCCGGGGCCAATCGAACGGCCCTGGGACCCAATAGAGAAGCCCTCTGATACTTTTGGAGTGCGTCTCTGGACCGCTAGCCGACCCTTATCGAATGGGGAACAGGCCTCCACTTGGACTTACCCGATAGCAGCCCACCAGAAGTGTCACCGCTCGCGCCCACCGAGGGTAGCCTGGCATATTCCACCCCTCCTTCCGAACGAAAAGGATGTGCGAGGGTCGTATAAAAAAGCCAGGGGGAACCCCTGATGGACCTCCCCGTAGAGGCTAAGGGGCTCTCCCTACAACTTTACCGAGACCCAGCGACCCAGGTTCGCACTCGAGGGGGCTTGGCAAGCAAACCCCTCCTTCCGAACGAAAAGGTTGCGAGGGTCGTACAAAAAGCCAGGGGTACTCCTGACGGCCCTCTTGCTCCGGGCAGAGACTAGGGAGCTCTTCCTGTAGATATGCTGAGGCCCCGCGACCCAGGCTCACACCCGAGGGGGTCTCAACAAACAAACCCTCATGCACGAGAGGTGTATAAAAAGCCAGGAGAGCACCTGACGGCCCTCTCGCTCTGTGCAGAGGCTAGGGGGCTCCTCCTGCAAGATTGCCGAGACCCAGCAACCCGAACTCGCATTCGCGGGCCCAGCAAGCACGATAAAACTCCTAACTCAAACGGAGAAAAAAGCCCCTGGAGGAGTAAACCACCAAGTACAAAACACGATCCCGACAGGATCTGTTGCGAACCAAGTCTCATCAAAACCTCAAGAGAGTGCCCACACTCCTCCTGAGGCTCAGGGGCTACTGTCGGATACCACAAGAAGGGGTACCCTAAGCAAGAACCAAAAATGTCGCTTAAACCTTACAAAAATCAAAACCAAAAAACTACCGCCAGGTCTCTGTAGAATTCTCCGATTCGCTCGAGGCCTTGTGCCGAGGCCTCATACGAAAGGCCAAAAGCGCCCTGCCGAGGCCCTCTCGCCGAGACCCTCTCGCCGAGGCCTCGCCCTGAAAGGCCTCGGATGGGATGCCAATTCTCCGATTCGCTCGAGGCCGGGCTCGGCAAACATACTCGTGGCCTCCATCCCAACCAAACTCCTCTGATGAAACATCACGTCCAGATTAATGCACCCAACTACTCCCGCAAACGTCAGCCGCACTCAGGCACAGTACGAGCAGAACGACCGACGGGACAGGGGACCGGGCGCAACAGGGGTTACCTACCACTATGCTCATCGCTGTGCTGCCTAACCCATGTGCCAAGGACAAAGCAGCATGGAAGGTCAAGTCCATGTCCCTGTAGTCTCGGAAATCACGGGAGAGCCCAACTGCTCGCTCTACGCCTCGTCCGAGACCCCCCAGCAGGGTCTCAGACGTACTATTCCTTCTCCGCCTCGGCCGAGGCCGGGCTCGTCCCATTTCCTCGTCGTCTCCGCCTCAACTGCCCCTCTGGCGGGCCGTCCCATCCATGTAAGTACCCCTAGTTGCGCCTACGTCAGCCACGATTGGCAAGGCATAGCAACAGGGGCGATGGGACGGCGGTCAAATCTCCTTTTTTTACCATTCCCCACTGACGGTGCAGGAACTACCATGCTTTGCGGACACACGCCCTGCATTTTTTCCACCTAAACCGGGTACGATGCTGACCACCAAGACCGTCGCATCATGCTCAGGTCACCCCCAGGCCTCGGCAAATCAGGCGTCGGCGCGGTTGGCCACAAACACCTGCCAGGCCTCGGCGAACCACCAAGTCAAAAATTTACAAGGCCCGGCATGTCACCTACAGAGGAGGCCATGCTGACTAAACGTCAACGAGGACCCCTACGACTTCAACAGCCTCAGGCATGGCCGGCATGACGCACCAGTAATCAAGTACCAATTGACATTCCCGACACTGTGCTGCTACAGGAATAGGCCACAGTACTGGATCTTCCTTCCTCGCTAAGGCTCCACGTGTAGCTCTCTCATGTATTCCTGGCTCCCCCCTTGTGGCTATAAAAGGAAGCAGCCAGGGCCGTTTCTATGGATCGAGACCACGCCGGCCCTCAAGCAAAAACGCACTCACTCAATTCACGCGCGCTCCCACGCTGCCTGAGAGCAACGACTCAAGCAGCCCGCACCACTCCACGCCGAGACCTGGGACTAGCTCCCTCTCTCACCCAGCTTGTAACCCCCTACTACAAGCACTTCGGTGCAAGGAATACAAGATCGATCTCCTAGACTGGACGTAGGGCACCGATTGCCTGAACCAGTATAAACCTTGTGTCTCTTTGCATCACCATCCGGGATTAGGGGCACGCAGTTCGCATTTACTGGTTGGTTGAGGACCCCCCCCCCGGTCCGAAACACCGACACGTCGTAAAACTGAAATTATGAAAGTGGAAATGCCTAGTAGTGTAGGCACGGTGATGGTGGCGGGTTTGCCGACGGCGAGCTCAGCAATGAGGGCACCGCCGAGTGGGCGGGGCTAGACAACAGGATGGCAAGAGCTGGGGCGGTGACAACGTTGCCTCTGAGATTAGAGCGGGGGAGGGGGGCAACGGAGGCGGACCATTCGGTGGGGACGCCGCCGGGGACGGGAGGAAGCTGGCAGGGGTGAGGGCGTTATGAGCTTCAACGGTGCCTCTGAGGTTAGCGTGGCAGAGGACAGCGGAGACAGACCCAACGGCAGCGGCCACCGAGGACGGGAGGAGGCTAACGGTAGGTCGGGGAGTGTGAGAGAGAAGGAGGCTGGCGGTAGGCAGCTGAAGGTTGAAGATGATTGACGCTTAATGAAAACGCCAGACACCTGCCGCGAAGACATACCCTTTCTAAATAGCACTGCACTCGCTCGCTACGCTTTATCATCATCTTTACTTAAAATAAACACATGCTAATGGAGAGTGGATGTTTGATTTGCTCTGGGCCCTGCTTGTCAGTCACTTGAAAAAGGAAATGATCATGGGCTCCGATCCTCCTAATCCTAAATATAAGAGAGAGATGTGGTGGGGTCGCATGCAGAGAAAAAGGGTCTGGGCAGCTGCCAGCCTGGCAAAGGAGGAATGGAGATTGAGATGAACGTCTCTCCTAAGACCCCGCCAAACTCCATCTAAAATAACACCTCCCTTGTCCAGCGCCATCACCAAAAACAGCAGCGACGAAACGAGCGAGAATATCAAATCAAATCAAAACCAAAAAGGAGAGGAGCGGAGCCCTGGACGGAGGAGACCCTTGCTGCCTATATTTCTCTCTCTTGCGGGAGAGGGAGAGATCACCAGCGCCACCACCTCCGATCGATTCCCGTGGCCACTGCTTAGTCTCGTCTCCGTGACCTGTTTCTTGATTGGGTGGTGACTGGTGAAGGAAGGAGAAATTAAGATGAGCCTCTTCGGGCTTGGGAGCAAGTATGGCCTCTGTCTACTTCTTGCTCTATCCCGTTGATCCGATCCTTTGGTTAATTCTAGGACAATTGCGTTGATATTTCTTTCTGCCATCAGATCATCTCTTCTTTTATTTTTTATCTCGTTGTTAGTTTTCTTCAGATTTTGTTTTGCCTGCGGTAGGTGTGGAAGGTTGCATTTATGATTATCTGAATCTGCAGAAAAACAGAGGAGGAAAAGTGAGAGATTAAATGATTTTGACCTTGGGAACAATAATGCCTGCACGTTCTAGCTCATCGCTGCACTCTTGAGTTTTTCTTTAAAAAATACATGTTTTTATTCAATGTTTGTTCACCTATTTGAAATGACGTACAATGTTATTTCCAACATTTCATGGATTATTCTGTTCGTGGATTCTCTTTTCCTTATTCAGTTGTAGTTGTACGTATCTCTGATTAGACTTTGTTTCGATGTGGTTTACTTATGAACAGGAATCAGAAGACGTTCAGGCCTAAGAAGAATGCACCGTCTGGCAATAAGGTCATTGGCGATCCGTGACTTTCGGATGATAACTAGTTCCGTTTTCATAATACTTATTTAGGGGGGATCTTTGTCCTTTTACTTCTGATCAAAATTCATTCATAAACTCCTTTCCATCATTTCAAATTTCATCAAAAAGGGGAAAAAAAGGGAAGTGTTGTGTCACATGAAAGTAGAGAATCGAACAATTGGAGTCACTCGAGAGTTATAAGACAATACAAATTATAGGAAAGAAAAGTTTACTGATAGGCTCTCGCAAATTACAGAGCAGTTCTTTTGCGCCAATACAATGTGCATGGAAGGGCTGAAAACATTTCGTTTCCCTTGTTGTTGATATGTTTGATACAGGGTGTGCAGCTGAAGAAACATATTGATGCAACCTTAGGAAGCGGAAATTTGAGGGATGCGGTTCGGTTGCCGCCAGGGGAGGATCTCAATGAATGGCTGGCTGTTAATAGTAAGTTTTACAATAATTTGTACATTCTAATGAAATAGTGTACCAATCTAAGGAAAAATATGTACCATGTAACTATCACGAGTGTTGATCACAAAGTTGTTGCTTTTTCACAGCTGTTGATTTCTTCAACCAGGTGAACATCCTGTATGGTACTCTAATGGAGTTCTGCACACCAGCTACATGCCCAACAATGTCAGCTGGACCAAAGTAAGATATATGCCGTCTTTGGGAGATATGTGGCCTCAAATACAGCACTCCTAATTTGATTGATAAGAGTTTTCAAATGGTGCCAACTAAAATTTCAGGTTTGAGTATAGATGGGCCGATGGGGTGCAGATCAAGAAACCAATAGAGGTTTCAGCACCAAAGTATGTTGAGTACTTGATGGATTGGATCGAAGCTCAGCTTGATGACGAATCCATCTTCCCTCAGAAACTTGGTACTTTATCATAGTAGTTCTTGGGCTTTATTACATCAACAAGTGGTTAAGTCCTAGTGGAGAGGATTTGTGCACTTGTAATGACTGTAGTACCACAATCGCTGAATGGAATATTAAGATTAGCATTCTAGTTTCTATGTTACTATTTGCAATCCTCTACTAGAAGTTGCTAGTTGTAGAGTACGAATAGTTGTTAGCTATAGATCATTGTGCCGTTATTAGTGAAGTGGAGTACTGGTAGCGATATGATGTTACTATGCATATAGTTAACTGAATATACTACTTTTGCAGGAACCCCTTTTCCACAAAATTTCAAGGAAGTTGTTAAGACAATATTCAAGCGCCTTTTCCGTGTTTATGCTCATATTTACCACTCGCATTTTCAAAAGATTGTCAGCCTTAAGGAGGAGGCACATCTTAACACTTGCTTCAAGCATTTTACATTGTTCACTTGGGTATGTTGCCTCTTGATTCTTCTTTATCCTCTTGCCTTAACGCGAGTATACCAATATTTTAGTGAATGATGTATTATTAGTTAGAAACTTCAAAATTTTCATAATTTGATGAAAATGAAAGAATTTAAAAATTGATATGTAACTGCAAAACACTTAGTGACAACTTTCGTTGAGTAGTGAGTGTGACATCATTACCACATTTTCTCTTGTTTGTAATCTGAATATATATATTAACTGAATGGAAGATCACTTAATTATAGTCTTTTTCTTTTTGAATTGGTTATGTTCTTTGTGCAGGAATTCAAGTTGATTGACAAAGCTGAGCTTGCACCACTTATTGATCTAATTGAATCCATTGTTTCAGTTTGTTGACATGACATTGATGATTATTTGGATCATTTGTTTTGGGGGGGTGTTACAACTAAGTATCCAATATGAGGGTGAGACTAGAAGAATGGCCAAAAGTTATTTTTCCTTTGTTCCTTTTTTGGGTGTCTTTCTCTACAATGAGACTTGACCATGTTCGTCCTTATGAAGTCCTGAAGAAACTATTCGGGGTTTAATGAGATAATGTTGTGTATCCTTCTTCTCTTGAATGACTCCATAAGTTCTGTTTGCAACAAGCATTAGTTTCTCACTCCTAAAGAACATTATTTATCTATCCATGTAATATATTAGTCTTGTTTTATAGATACATCTCTACAAATGAGTTAACTTCTCTAATAAAATGCATCTCAAGATTAATATATTATTTTCTTAGAGAAATTCTGGACATCCGAAAATATTTTTGGAGCCATTTGAACACTTAAGGTTTTTAGTACTAATTCAATGTGACATACAATTCTATTTTCTTGTTTCTGTGGTTGCAACAAGACAGATGTAATGAAGTCCAATGTAAGGGCTAAAAATTGGAGTTTCATGAATGTCGCCTAGAATTTTTGTGAAGTCTAGAAAAGAGTCAATTTTATGAAGCATTGGCAAACTACCCACCCTATAAAGTGGCTCAATCTTAGCCATCACTCACACAAAAGGGCTGATGCACTTTTGAAATGAAATAAAAGGAAGGATTTTTTTTTTTGCAGTTGTTATTTCTTGCCTACCTTTTGCTTTAGAATGGGGAGAGATGGCTAAGTGTACTACAGAGGTGGATTATTAATCTGTTCCACAATTCTTTTATATCGATGGTTTGAATCCCTGTCTTCCCCAAAATACAAATTCTACATTCTGGTGAGGCTACTATGAAATGTTTACTCAGGGGTGAGGCAAGCTCTTCTATTTTAATTCATGGTTTGACAAGCAACTTTAAGTTTTCGATGAAAATCTTTGCTATTCTACCTACCAAATAATTGAATGATGTATTTCATTAAAAAACATAAAAATGGATAAGAACCGAGAATGAAAGTGCATCTAGCCCCGTCATGGGTTTTGGTGGATTAATGACATGCAATCAAAGGACTAATACGTTATCAAGTGTTTGAGCAAGTTTTAATTTAAGTATAAGTGACACATTTGTGGAATGACGATCCTCCAAATTTAATCAAGAGGAGTCATGGCATATGGAGCTTCATAGCAAATTTAAAGTCTTTATTGTTTGCATTTGAGTATAGGAAAATGCTACACTATAAAGAGGGATTCAAAGTCATTATATTATAGGTGTCTCTATGCTCAAAGAGTGGCTAACTCACCCTTCGAAGATGCCAAAGATACCTGGGAGTTAGTCTAGAGAAAAAACGTTTATTGATTTTTGACAGCCATTTCGGGATGTCCGGTCCAATCGGATATCCAGAAAATAATCAAATATTGTTTTTCTGAAAGCTGACAACATTTTCAGATGTCTGTTATGCAATTCTGGATGTCCAGAAAATATTCAAAAAATAATCACAAAATTGTTTTTTAGAACCTGAGTGCTGATTCTAGATTCTGGATGTCCAGTGTCTTCACGGACTGTTTTGCTCTAGATTGGGTTTTCCGGATGTCCGGTCCTGATCGGATGTCCGAACATGGTCGTTACTGCTGGGTAACGATCAGATCTAAGAGCGATGGTATTTATATCCCCCTCTCTCTCTCTTCGGCCTACCCCTTCATTACCTTAAGCTAAAACACCCGAGCGCCATTACTCCTCTTCTCCTTCTCTCCCAAACCTTGCTTTGACTTGAGCAATAGCCAGGTGTTCGAAGGGGCATGTCAAACGGCCTCGCGCAGCTCACTGACTCGATCGTCGCTGAGGGTTTCAACGCTCTGTCGCTGCTCCCGACAGGGGCTCTAGCATGACCTTCTGACGGTCTCTCTCTGGTCGCTCTTCTGTCTAAAGTAATAGCTTAATTGTTCCGCATAGCTAGTGTCAGGCCCCTTTCTGTGATCGGGTGACTCCGGCAGCTCGCCGGGGGTTCATCACCATGTCGTAAAAACTACTATCACTCTTAATGAAAGACATGCTAGGCAGGTTCTCAAAAAAAAAAAACCAAGCAGGCTATTCATCATAGCTGTTTCCTTCTTGAAACAATTGAGGACTGAACTGAGTGATACCACGGCAAATAATCTGATTGTACACTTGATTACTCATCTTGCAACTTGCATGCGTTGATCGATTAGGCAATCGACCGCAACACATCAGCTTAGTTCTGATCGTGTTGCCTTTCTTGAGGGTTTTGAATTGTTTGGTTCAACAAAAGTGAAGAATATGTTTCTCCTTTGTACTTGGACACCTAGTGATGTATCTGCATCTAGCCTTGACATTAACGAAGAGCCTACATCTTTGTTACTTTCGTCAATCCTAAAGAGGGTGGGAAGAATGGCAATGCAGATGCGGGATATACAGGTAAAAGCTCCATTCCATCAGCTAAGTCATTTCCCTGTATGGTTCTCAGTCTCACGACGGCGGCTTGCAATGCTTCAGTACGATTTCATCAGCTTTTGGCTCTGATGAATCACTAACCTATGCTGATCGTATACAGTTTTCTGAAGGATTTGCTAGGAAACTTGTTAGTGGTATGTTAATATTCCTATCTTGGTATTGTTCATTATCGTTTTCAGCGTATAGGAGGTGCATACATATTCAGTATCGTATTGCTGTTGTGGTTTCTGGTTTCAGATAAAGTCAAGCAACTGGCCGACGGGTTCCAGAACAAGTTACGTTACCTGATTGGTGCCCGAGAAATTAAGGCCGTTCAGCTCAGGGTTTCTGCGGATGATAAACTGTGTTAACCTACAGAATCATCGGCTCAGGTGAGTGAACCACTCACCAGTCTTATCGAGTACCCGCTAGTGTTGCCGAGCACCCACTAGCTAAGCCGACCACAAACCAGCGTTATCCGTCCCCACGCACTATGGCTAGAGGTTGAAGAATAGAGAGAACAGAGCATATACACACAGTACAAGATACCAGCGTTGGCCAAAGCCCTGTATGGGAGATGGCAAATCTGAACTCTCTTTACTAAGTTGTCGTGTATGTCTATTTATACAACTCTATCCATCTAGTCCTATTACAGCGCACATGCTGCAACAGTAACTAGATAACACAGCAGAATTGACTTCTACGCCTGTCCCTGCATATGGCTACAGTGCTGTAGGTGAGCCGTTCGGCGCCTGCACCTGCAGCAGCTACAGTATCACAGCAGGGAGCCTTTTCGGCGTCGCCTTCCCCTGCTGTGTGTTCACACAAGGTAGCAGTAGATTATCTAAGAATTCTTTCCCTAATCCTACTGCTAACCCTTGTATCCCTCCATACTGATCATCTCCTTCAGCTCCGTGAACCGAAGACGTCCGAGCGGCTTGGTGAGGACGTCCGCGAGTTGCCGACCAGTTTCGACGAATTCGATGAAGATCTGCCCTCCATCGACACAGTCCCTGAGGAAGTAGAACTTCACGTCGATGTGTTTGTTTCGGTCGTGCAGAACCGGATTCTTCGCGAGGGCGATGGCGGGCTGGTTGTCCACCATCAGTGCTGGTGGGTGAGCTTCCGCGCCGGTTAGCTCGCCCAGCAGCCGGCGTAGCCACACAACTTGGCACGCCGCTGTGGCCGCCGCTACATACTCTGCCTCGCACGTAGATAGCGCCTCCACCTTCTGTTTCAGCGACAGCCATGAAATTAGAGCTGACCCGAGGAAGACGAGCATACCAGAGGTGCTCCATCGTCCGTCAATGTCTCCCTCCATGTCTGCATCGCTGAACATAGTGAGCTGCAGCCTACTCCCGTCGGTCTTGGGAAAGTTGATCCCCTAATCTATTGTCCCTTTGACGTAGCGCAGTAGATGCTTCATCGTAGCCCAGTGATTCTCTCTGGGATCCTCCATGAAGTGACTGACGTAGCCCACGGCGAACGTAATGTCCGGCCTCATGTGAACTAGGTAGCGCAGTCGACGATGCTCCGGTAGAGTGTTGCATCCACCTTCGCCGTGGTGCTGACCTTCGTCAGCTTCAGCCGCTCCTCCATCAGAGTTACACATGGCTTGCACTCAGCCATGCCGCTCCTCTCCAACAGCTTCAAGGCATACGCGCTCTGACTGAGCGTGAGTTCCTCTTTCCCCTGTCTCACCTCGATGTTGAGGGAGTAGGAGAGTGCACCAACATCTCTCATTCGAAAATGAGCCACCATCTCGCGTTTGAAGCTGTTGATGTCCTTCGTGCGCGCGCCGGTGACGATCAAGTCATGCACATACATGTCGATGACGAGCTCCTCCTTCCCCGTCGCCGCATGTAGAGCGCGTGCTCGGTTGTGCACCTCTGAAACCCAAGCTCGCCCAGCGTGGCGTCAAGCTTGGCGTTCCATGCTCATGGGGCCTGTCGTAGCCCGTAGAGTGCCTTGCGCAGTCGGAGCACCCTATGCTCCTCTCCCTTGATGGCGAAACCTGGAGGTTGCCTGATGAAGGCCGTCTCCGCCAGCTCGCCGTTGAGGAAGGCCGATTTAACATCCAAGTGATGGACGCGCCAGTCCTTTGTGACTGCCAAGGCTAGTAGCAAACGGGCAGACTCCATGTGTGCTACCGGCGCAAAGACTTCCTCAAAGTCGATGCCCTCACGCTGAACAAAGCCTCGGACGACGAGGCGCACCTTGTGCTTGACAATGGCGCCGAGCTCGTCCCGCTTGACCTTGTACACCCACTTCAGGCTGATCGGACGGCATCCTAAAGGTGGATCGATGAGCTGCCAAGTCTCGTTTTCCTCGATCGCCTTCATCTCCTCCAGCATTGCCCGTCGCCAGTTTCTGTCGCGCTCGGCCAGCGCGAACGTGGGTGGTTCCTCAGCACTGACGAGTAGCAGCTCTGCTTCATTGAGCAGCTGACCAGCCAAGCCTGAGGGCCCTTTGCCACCGACGATGTCATCCAGCCTGCCGAACCACACCTCCTCACCTTCGTGGTATGCGTCCACGAACTCAGTGATGTCACTTGGAGGTGAGGCGAACTCGATCAGTGTTCATGGAGTTCCCTGTTCCGCCGGAGTGCTCAGCACGGCACCTGAAGTGCTCGGCACTCTGGTTGCAGTGCTTGACACTACTTCTGGACAGCTCGTCATAACTCCAACAGTGCTCGGCACCACTGTAGGAGTGCTCAGCCTCAGTCTTAGAGTGGTCGGCACCACTACAAGACCTCTTGGCTCCGCCACGGGAGTGCTCAGCACTCGTCCTAGAGTGGTCGCCACCACTGCAGAACCTCCTAGCACCACTCCTGGCGTGCTCGGCATCCCTCCAGGAGTGCTCGGCACTCCTCCCAGAGTGGTCGGCACCTCTTCCCCAGCGTCTCCACCACCGTGGATGACAAAGCACTCGACGACAAAGATGCTGGTGAAGCCGCCAGCTCCCCCCGTGCTCGGACTGTTCCAGTCCCAAGCGGCCTTCTCATCGAACACGATGTCGCGCGAGACAAGCACCTTGTCTCCGCATGGGTCATAGAGCCGATACGCCTTGGTATCCTCCGCGTAACCTAGGAACACTATCGGTGTGCTCCTGTCCTCCAGCTTGGTGAGGTTTGGCTTCGTCTTCCTGACGTGGCCGATACAGCCGAATGTCCGGAGGAAGGACATGCTCGGCTTGCACCCATACCAAGCTTCGAACGGCGTCTTGCCCGTCAGGGCCTTGGTCGGAGCGCGGTTGAGGATAAATACCACCGTGGTCACCGCCTCCCCCAGAACCTTGTCGGCATGCCTTTGGCCTTCATCATGGATCGGGCCATGCCAACCACTGTTTGGTTCCGTCGCTCCACCATGCCATTCTATTGTGACAAGTACGGCGCGGTGTGATGTCGCACCACACCTAGATCCACGCAGTACGCAGCGAACTCTACCGAAGTGAATTCACCGCTACGATCAGTTCTCAGCACACGGAGCTTCTTGCCCCTCTTGGCCTCCGCGCGCATCTTGAACTTCTTGATCACCGCCGCCGCTTCGTCCTTGCTCGCCAGGAGCTACAGCCACATATAGTTACTACAATCATCCACGAGCAGGAGGAAGTACCACCGACCACCGTTTGTAGCAGGCATGATCGGCTCGTAGAGGTCGCCGTGGACGAGCTCGAGAGCATCCTTCGCATGATACTTGGCAGCCTTTGGGAATGGTAGCCTCCTCTGCTTCCCGGTCAGGTAGCTATCACATAGCTTACCTCCGTGCTTGATGTGGAGTAGCCCTCGGACCATCTTCTCCAGTCGACCAAGCATGTCAAAGCTGAGATGTCCAAACCGGGCATGCCACATCCACGGTTCCTCGATGTGCCTTGCCGCCAGGCACACCGGCTGCTCTACCTTCAAGTTGAGCAGGTACAACGGTTCAAGGACCTCTTTACCTTGGCAAGAAGTCACTGCTCCTAGTCCCTGATCCTAAGGACTTCGTCCTTGATCAGTACCTCGCTACCGCGCTCATCTAGCTGACCAATGCTGATGATGCTGGAACGCAACTGCGGGATATAATATACATCCGTTAGCGCGCGGTGCTCCCTGTTCTGGCACCTGAAGATGATGGTGTCGCGCCCTTGGATTGCCACCCTTGAGCCGTCACCAAACTTCACCATACCGGTAACATCATCGTCGAGCTCGGAGAAGGATGCCTTGGAGCCCGTCATGTGGTTGCTGGCACCAGAGTCCAGTTACCACTGCTGCTCCTGGTCGGTGCCCATACGTCCGAGGTGGACTTGGGCGTGTGGTTCGTTGAGGTTGACAGTCTTCAGGGCCTTCCCAGGTCCTTCCACCATCATCACCTCTTCCCTCTGCTCGGCCTCGACGTCGTGCAGTGCACAAAACATCACCATCAGGATAGTGACCTTATCTTCATCATCAGCTTGCGCCAGATAAGCCTCAGCTTTCTTCTCCTGCTTACGATTTGGGCACTCCCATGCCCAATGACCCATCTTTCCACAGCGCCGGCAGGCGTTGGGGTCGACCTGCTTCTTCTTCTCCGAAGAAGCCTTGCCGCGGCACTTGCCATCGCCACCGCGGCTGGAGAAGGTTGCCTTCCCAGAGTTCCTCCGAGCAGCCCACTCCTCCTCTATCAGCAGTAGTTTGTCGTTGTCCTTCGTTGCTGTCGCCTGCTCTAGGCGCTCGTCCACCTCCCACAGACGGCCTGTCACATCCTCAATGGTGAGGGTGGATAAGTCCAGCATCGTCTCTATGGAGAGAGCGATCTAGATGTACTTTACCGGTACAGAGTGAAGGTACTTGGAGACCACCTCCTCTTCATCGACGGTGACGCCGTGGCTCTTCAGCTTGCTAATGGGCGTCTGCAGGCGGAGGGAAAAGTCCTCCACCGTTTCACCATCCTTGAACTTGAGGTTGACGTACTCCTGCTTCAGAAGCTAGGCCATCGCGTTCTTTGCGCGGTCGGAACCGATGCGCATCTCCGCAATAGGCTATCACGCCTCCTTAGCAGAGCTCTTCGCCTCCAATGGCTCCCTGTACACCATCGGTACAGCAGCGAGGATAGCCTACAACGCTGACATGTCATCTTCTTCATTGTCGGTGCCTTTATCAATAGCATTCTAGAGCCGTCGGGCTCTGAGCTTGACCTTCATGGTCACCGACCACTCTCCATAGTTGGTGCGAGTCAGCATCGGTCAACTGGTGCCGCTGACCTCCCGCACCATGCGAACAACGACCTCCGGTCGTGGCTGGGCAGCCACAACAGTGCCATTGCTGTCGCCCACTTCCGAACCGCCCATCATCGCCAGCGATTAGTCTGGCAACGGCGCTTGTACGGCTCCGATAGCACTTGTTAGCCCACAGGATCATCGGCTCAGGTGAGTGAACCACTCGCCAGTCTTGCCGAGCATCCGCTAATGTTGCCGAGCACCCACTAGCTAAGCCGACTACGAACAAGCGTCGTCCGTCTCCACGCACTATGGCTAGAGGTTGAAGAAGAGGGAGAACAGAGCCTATATACAGTACAAGACACTAGCGTTGACCGAAGCCTTGTATGGAAGATGGTAAATCTGAATTCTCTTTATTGAGTTGTCGTGTATGTCTATTTATACAACTCTATCCATCTAATCCTAGTACAGCGCGCATCCTGCAATAATAACTAGATAACATAGCAGGACTGACTTCTGCGTCTGTCTCTCTATGTGGCTACAGTGCTGCAGGTGAGCCGCGACTATAGTATTACAGCAGGAAGCCTTTTCGGTGCCGCCTTCCCCTGCTGTGTATTCACACAAGGTAGCAATAAATTATCTAACATGCTGAAACTAATTTATTATTAGAGAAAATTATACCACGACGAATAGGGCAATTAATTGAGCGTTTGAACGGGTCTGAACTGAAACAAGCGGGACGAGGACTGAGGAAAGGCGGTCAACACTCGAGGCCTTGTGCACGTGTGAGACGCAATGCAGCACGCATTGGAGCATTGGACGGCAGAAGATAAAGCACGGCGCGCCACCACGGATAAGAATCCAGAAGCTTGCGTTCTCCCGTCTCCACCCATGGCTCATCCCCTCCTCTCCTCGGCGCTTGTTTGTTCGCGTCTTCTCCCTGTAGGGAACTGCGTTCCCCAGCCCCGGCTGTGCGTGACGTCAGCACGCCCCGCGGGCGGGAGGGTGAGGTCGCTGAGCGTGAGGTGCGAGCAGGGAGCCAAGGGCGGCGGCGGGCTAGACGCCTGGCTGAGCCGCGGCGCGATGCTGGGCTTCGTCGGGGCGGTGACTGTCGAGCTGACCACCGGCAAAGGCGTGCTTCAGGTGTGGGTCGTCTTTCTTGGCTTCTTGCTTGCTTCTGCTGACAGACAAAGTTGATCCGTGGCATTGTCTGCCTTTCTCATGGTTGGTTAACGGGCTAATTTTTGGCTGTCGCAGAATGTGGGATTGACCGCGCCGTTGCCGGCGGTGGCGCTGGCGCTCACCGCCGTGGTCGGCGTCCTCACGGCCTTCCTCATCTTCCAATCCGGGTCGCGGGACTGATGGGTGAATTGTCAGAGCTGCCGGCACCTTCCTAAGTCCTAGCTCCCAAGAAGGCACGCATGCATGTGTCTGCCAGAGTCTACTGCTCTGTATGTCTATGCTGTTTGTTGTGTTCAAAGAAAGGGAACGCAGAGGAAGTTGGAGGAGTAACACAGTGCGAAAAAGATTAATTTTTACCAGATGTGTTTTCAATACTCTTCTTTGACGGAGAAAATTGCATTTTGGATCTGTTAAAGTGTATAAGGTCTATATGTGGCTCATGAGACTCTTCATCACAGCAAAGGGCTAGGGTTTGACAAATCTAATACATCCATCCACGATCTATTTTTTTATCCCTCCTCTCTTTGGCCAAGAGTCAAGAGAGTGGCCATTGTCAGTTAAGGGGCTATATGTATAAGCAAATTTTGCTGTGAGACACCGTTTTTACGAGTACTTGGCTAATCAACATCGCTATTCGTAGTGTTTGCTGAATACCGTTATAAATGTCAGCTTATTTTCTGCTGGACACGGTCACTGCACGTATTATTATAATAATATAATTTACAGTTGTGTGGAAGAGATAAACACGTTTTTTTAAGGTAAGAGATAAACACGTATGGTTTGCCCTTTATCACCCCGAAATGGGATGGTTGGTTAGTTAGGACCAGAGCCGTCTTTTGTCTCCGGCCACCCGCGAGGCTGAGGCTGAGCACGACCTCGAGGTGTAGTCGTGGCCGTGTGCCGAGCTTGCCACCAGCTTCGCGTCCGCAGGGTCGTCATGCAGCTACAGGACCAGGCCAATGCCTCTGCGTCCATGTCGGTCGCTGATGTCACTTGCAGTGGTCTGGCATTGTGGTTGGCGGCGGCGCGGGGAGGAGCAGGATGAGGAAGCAAACATGGTCAAGGAGGTACATGGCGTAGGCGTGCACTAATGCGGAGTGGTCCCACGACGCTGCGTGCACCTCGTCGTGGAAGTAGAGGAGCAGCGGAAGGACTGGCTTCTCTATGCGCTGGCTGGTTGGGGTGGGGCAGTGCAGCTCGCGGAGGAACCGCGTGGCCTCACCCTCCCTGTCCTCAAAGGCGCAACGGCGGCGAGGCAGTGCAGGAGCACAAGGCACTTGGTGGCGACAACGTAGTCATAGGTCCAAGAGAGGCGGCGGACTAGGGAGGCGATGCAGGCAGGTGCAGCGCCCGTGGCGAATGTGAGGCAGAGCACCTCCTCCGCATGGCGCCCGTTCGGTGGGAGGTGGCACGCACGATCGCCACGTTGAGGTCCAGCGCCAGGGCAGCCATTACCCGCGCGATGCCGATTGTCGTTTGGTCCTTGACCACAAGCAGTGCCTTGCGGATGGACATGGCGGCGGGCTGGGCAGAGGTTGCAAAAACAGCCTGGTTCTGTCGGGTCATACGATGGTACAACAAATATCTTATAGTCCTAATTTTTAACTCATGAGGTGGTTGTTCCACAAAATAATGATATCTAACTCTCGGCCCTCCCTCTCTCTCTCCTTTCTATGCACAAAAATCCTATGTGACATAGACTGCATAGTTATATTATTAGTGAAATTTAACAGCGCTTGGAAATAATGAGAGCCATCCATATCGTTAGATCTAATGGTTTAAAAATGGGAGGAACCAGATGGAAGGAACTTAAGTTGTGGGCCGGAACAAAAAATTACGTGGACCCAGAACTGGTTTCTAATTAAATTTGGAGGGTATAAACGTCTTGGGAGCTGAAACAAGCGGGACGAGGATTGAGGAAAGGCGGTCAACACTCGAGGCCTTGTGCACGTGTCAGACGCCTATGGTGGGGCGCCTTTGGTGTCCCAGCATAACAGGCCCCAAGCCCTGATAAAGGAGGAGGGTTATGTTAGGCGTGGCGAGCCAATGTAAAAACTTAACCACTTTTATGGAGATGAAACCCAAAAGAATCCGGTTGGGGCGTGACCCTCTTAGCGACGCGCCATGTCGGTACCCGGGTATGGTGTTAAATGAGCAAGGGCCGGGTCGTCACCCTCGTGACGCGCCATGTCATGATCTGGGCATGGTGTCAAGTGAGCAAGGATCGGGTCGTCGCATCTAGTGGCGCGCCACATTGGTGCCCAGATGTGGTGCAAAATGAGCAAGGGTCTTCACACCTACCTCGGCGGGTGCGAAGAGTAAGGAAGCTAGTTGAGCCAACTAGGATCCATTTAGGTAGCTGGAATGCAGGATCCCTTACGGGTAAGTTAAGAGAGTTAGTAGACACAGCGGTTAGGAGGCGTGTAAATATCATATGCGTTCAAGAGACTAAATAGAAGGGGCAGAAGACGAAGGAGGTGGACAATACCAGCTTCAAGCTCTGGTACACAGGGACAACTTCAAATAAAAATAGAGTTGGAGTTTTGATTGATAAGAGCCTCAAGGATGGTGTGGTGGAGGTGAGAAGGCAAGGAGATAGGATCATCTTAGTTAAACTTGTCATTAGTGATATGGTCTTAAACATAATTAGTGCGTATGTCTCCCAAGTAGGCCATGATGAGAGTGCTAAGCGGCTTTTCTAGAAAGACTTAGATCGCTAGGTTAGAACTGTCCCTAGTAGCGAGAAGCTCATTATAGGAGATGATCTTAATGGCCATGTAGGTACATCAAGTGCAGGTTTCGAGGCAGTTCATGAGGTTTTGAATATGGTAGTAGGAACCAGGAGGGAGAGGAAGTCTTAGATTTTGCTATAGTTTTTGATTTGATTATAGCTAATACTTTCTTTCGTAAGAAACAGTCACATTTAGTGACCTTTAGTAGCGGCTAGTACTTTAGTCAAATCGACTTTGTCCTTATAAGAAGGTGGGATAAACAAACATGCGTGGACTGTAAGGTGATACCTGGAGAATGTGTGGTCACTCAAAAAAAGCTGGTGGTGGCTGACTTCAGCTTTCTGGTGCAAGCTCGTGGGAGCGAACAAGCTAGGGTTGCTAGAATGAAGTGGTGGAAATTAGAAAGGGAGCATCAAAGGCCTTTAAGGAAAAGATCATTGAAGAGGGCCCTTGGAAGAATAAAGGCGATGCAAACAACATGTGGGAGAAGATGGCAATATGCATTCAAAAGGTTGCTTTAGAGGTGCTTGGAGTGACCAAAGGGAGCGGATGCGACTTGAAAGACACTTGGTGGAATGAAGATGTGCAAAAGGCTATTAAGGAAAAGAAGGAGTGCTATAAGCGCTTGTATCATGACAAGTGTGCAGACAACATAGAGAAGTATAAGGTGGCAAAGAAGACTACAAAACAAGCGGTGAGTGAGGCAAAGGGGCGAGCCTATGAGGACCTTTACCAACGTTTGAGCATGAAGGAAGGAGAGAAGGACATTTATAGGATGGCTAGGGCTCGCGATAGGAAGACAAGGGACTTCAATCAAGTCAAGTGCATAAATGATGAGAGGGAGCAGCTCTTGGTGAAGGAGGATGAGATCAGACATAGATGGTAAGAGTATTTTGATAAATTGTTCAATGGTGAGAACGAGAACACCACCGTTTAGCTGGACGACTCATTTGATGACACTAGTAGGTGCTTTGTGTAGAGGATTCAAGAAACGGAGGTCAAAGAAGCCTTGAAAAGGATGAAAGGGGGCAAAGCGATGGGCCCTGATGGTATTCCAATCAAGGTGTGGAGATGTCTCGGGGATATAGCTATAGTATGGCTAACCAAGATGTTCAACAATATCTTTCGATCGAACAAGATGCCTGAGGAGTGGAGAAGAAGCATATTGATACCAATCTACAAGAACAAGGGAGATATCCAAACTTATACTAATTATCAGGGAATTAAGTTGATGAGCCACACTATGAAGCTATGGGAGAGAGTCATCGAGCAGCGCCTGTGAGGAACGACGCAGATATCAACAAACCAATTTGGTTTCATGCCCGGAAGGTCAACCACAGAAGCAATCTTCTTAATAAGACAAGTTATGGAGCAGTTTAGAGAGCAGAAGAAGGACCTCCACATGGTTTTCATTGACTTGGAGAAGTCTTATAATAAGATACCAAGAAATGTTATGTGGTGGGCTTTGGACAAACATAAAGTCCCATCAAAGTACTTGACCCTCATCAAGGACATGTACAACAATGTTGTGACTAGTGTTCAAACAAACGATGGTAACACAGATTACTTCCAGGAACATACAAGGGGATATCTCTTGGTGTATGTTGTTCGCTAATGATGTAGTGTTAGTGGATGAAAGCCAAGCGGGAGTAAATAGGAAACTAGAGTTATGGCGGTAAACCCTTGAGTCTAAAGGTTTTAGATTAAGCAGAACTAAAACCGAATACATAAGATATGACCTTGACAGACCTACACAGGGGGAGGGAGATATGAGTTTGGAAGGTCAAGTAGTGCCTAAGAAGGATACCTTTCGATATCTAGGATCGATGCTATAGAGGGATGGAGATATTGATGCGGACATTAGCCATAGAATCAAAGCAGGGTGGATCAAGTGGCGACAAGCTTCTAGCATTCTCTATGACAAGAGGTTACCACAAAAGCTAAAAGGCAAGTTTCATAGAACAACGATTAGACTGGCTATGTTGTATGGAGCAGAATGTTGGCCTACAAAGATTCGACATGTTCAACAACTGAGTGTTGCAGAAATGCATATGTTGCGATGGATTTGTGGTCACACAAGAATGGACCGAGTTCAGAAACATGATATACGTGATCACCTAGGGGTAGCACCAATTGATGAAAAGCTTGTCCAACATCGGTTGAGGTGGTTTGGCCATGTCCAATGGAGACCTCCAGAGGCACTAGTGCATTGTGGAGTCCTAAGCCAAGCTAATAATATGAGAAGAGGTAGAGGAAGACCAAAATTGACATGGGGAGAGACAATAAAAAGAGATTTGAAAGCGTGGGATATACCTAGAGATCTATGAATAGGAGTGCTTGGAAAGCAGCTATTGAAGTGCTTGAACCGTGACTTAAGGGGAGCTATTCTTTGAAACGCTGATGAGCTTATCAAAACTGCTGGGCCATCGATTGAATCTCTAGGCTACA